CCTTAGGAAAGAACAAGAATTAATAGGATGAAAGCACAGCAAGGGTTAGATAAGGCATTGAGGAAAAAAACACTCTGAGGGAACATACTAGAACAGAAATTTTATGGGGAGGTTTAAGAAGAATTCTATCAATAAAAATCTATGAGGATAGGCTAAATAAGCATCTCAGAAGTGTGTTTATAGTTGATCTTGTCCTGGTAAGAAAAATGGAGTATCTCTTGTGGTCCAGGCATATTTCTTTATGAATCTTTATGTGTTTGCTGGAGATGAATCGTGTTGTGCAGTTGTTCCCTGTTTCATTCTTCAATGTATAAAAGGAATACCATTGCTTATGCTTTTTTCTGTTTCTACAAATACATGGTTACTATGAATAAATATTTTCATTTGGCTTAGAGGAATAAGCACTCCTGTGCATTTATTTTGTGTGAGTGCATTCTTCAATAAGCTTTTGGCTTTTGCTGCAAAGGACGTCAGCAGTCAAGCACTTCCTAAAATCTTTTCCTGTTTTATTGGATATATCTAAATTCCACATAGTCATGCTGAATACTATCAGTCACTCTTGACTCAGCCAAAATGGTTTTAAAGCAGCCAGGGAATATGTGGGGGCGTGTGCTGCTGAGCAGCTGGTTTTAAATTGCACAGAGTTCTGTCTGGTTTCTCACGCACTGTCCATATGACAACTTGGACTACAGCTGTTTTGATCTCATCATATTGATGTGTGTGACTTGCACTTTTCCATGAGTAATACACCACTGGGAAGTTTAGATTGGATCAGAGTAAAGGCCATTTGTTGTTGATTATCTTATCTGCTTTTCCTACTTAATATAAAGGGAAGTCAGTGTATCATTCTTAAATGTTCTGTACTGTGAGATTCCCTGTAGGGAAAACTAAAACCATTGTTGACCTTACAAGCTTTGTTAATCAGTTTACATCTAGTGCTTCATAACAAATCCTGATGGTCTTACTGGTTTTCTAGGAATGCAGCATATTTGTAGCCTACAGTTAAGTCCCAGTAAATGTTCCCATCACCCCAGACCAAGTTTATTTTTGCATGATGATCTCTTCGTTTGCTTGAGGTTTCCTTTCTTCCTTCCCTCTCATGACTTATCATCCAAACATTTGTAATCTCCAGAGGAGCTGCAAAACACATTCCCATGAAAATCTTAAATCTCTAAAAGCAGTACAAGAGGGGAAAAAAAAAAAAGAATAAAACCACCATAAACCCAGCCTTACTTCTCACTGAAGGGCTTGAGTAAACTCTTTTGTCACAGCCATAGTAAAGTATAAGTCTTTAAAGTCCAGAACTGCAATCAGACTGTCATAAACAGGAGTATTGCCTTTTTGACTGATTTCTATTATAAAACCAAAGGGTTCATTAATCTCATCCAGGGCTCTTTAGTGGGGGGGGGAAAAAAAAAAAGAAGGAAAGAAAGGAAAGAAAAGAGTAGTTGAGTAAGGTAGGTTTAATGATTTTGGGAGGTTTATTGGCTGTACATCTTTGGTCTTTGGTCTGTCTCAAGCCACACTAGTTCTCTCAATGAGGCTTTTCTTTTCTAGAAATAATGGTATCCGACATTACAATTACACAGTAGAGGTCGTTCAACAATGCTTCAATTCCATATTTCTTTAGCACACAATAGAGAAAAGAAAAAAGGCTTTTGGTCTACAGAGATATAGTAAAAGGCTTTTACTTGAAAATACTTCATCATAACAGTTTTATTAACCTGATGCCAGTCATTTCTTTAATTTGATTGAAGCAGCAATTTGTATTCTATGCAGAATTTAGGCCAAGGGGCTCTTGTCCCATTGGCTGTTGCACAATCATTGGGCATTGAATATCCTATGCATGTAAAGTATTACAGGCCTTAGCTGTGATCTTGAGGGTCTGTTTTAGGGTAGGAGGTATCTAGTGTTTATATCTAGTAGATATTTATCTAGCTGTGTAATAGATTTAGGTCCAAATGAATACTATTATTACCAGGCCTTTGGATGCATTGCTTATCTTCTGAATAAATGCCGTCAGGTATTACGAGCTTGGCCATGTGCTACAAAGAGGGCTGTCAGTTAGAGATGTGCTGGTTTGTATACAGAAATACAGCCTGTGCACCAGGGTGAGGTTCATTTGCACATGTGTGGGGGGTGTGGTACATTGGCAACATCAGGGAATGTATTACTTTTTTCCTCATGCAGGCTGAAACAGCCTCTGTTGTTTGCTGATGTAAATTTTCCCATGTATGGTGGACAGTGACTGGACTTGGCTGTTTGTAATTTTGCTGGAGCAATTTTTAAACTATCCTCTTCTATGTTTTTTATTTTCCAAAGGGGTTTATGAAAGCAGTATGGAATGTTTTGCATCTGTACACAGACATTGAGCCTGTCAATTGGTTTTTCAGAATCCTTTATGTACCCTTTACTCTTTTAAGCATCTCCTCCCGCTGAAACTTCATTTTTTAATACTACTGTGAGAAATCACTGTAGTTTTCCTTCTAGTGGGTCTTGCCTCCTGTATTCTAAGTTGGTTTTAAGTGTTGTTCTTTTTAATTAATTTAGATTGCAAAGTTCCCTTTATGACCAACCAGTTTATTTAGACACACAGAGGACTGAAGCTTCCAGCATCTGACTGAGTGCAGGGATTACCTCATGGTGGAGGCTCTGATACCACAAGACCTTAAGCAAAACCAGGGAAATCAGATTTCTACATCACATTTTAAGATTAACAAGGGAAAACAGGCCTACCACCTTAGAAGACAGTGATAAATGATACTGAGAAATTTAAGAACCTTGTAAAACTGCTTTACATTGGTTTACGAGTCAAATTAATCTACAAATAAAATGTAAATACTAAAATATCAGTTATGTGTTCAAATGGATCCTTTAGCAACAACAGTAAGAGAATTGACTAATGTTGCAGTGATTACATGATGTGGAAGTTGGACCACAGCCCAGCCCAACAATGTTAAACACCAGTTCTTCTAGTAAAGTAATTTCTGATTGCAGTATCTGTTTTCATCTCGAGTAGCTCAATGTGGGAGACTTGGCCTAGCTCGGAAAGGGCTGTGTTTTCATGGTGTGACTGTGTCTCAGTGCAGTTCGGCATCTGAAATCAAATATGAATTTTGAAAAAATACATAGTATTTACAGCAGTAGTTTTGACTGTGGAATGCTTTAGCCCAAGAATAAATTTGAGTTTTAGACATTCTTAATATGGTAAAATGCTTTCAAATTAGGACTTAGATTGGACTTCTGTCCATGGATAATTCAAGATGTTAACGTTGCTAATTTTATGGATCTGTCTCTCCTATGGGCTTCAACAAATTGACTTCTGTGACTCTTACTGTATCAGTTTATTTAATACTTAATATCTGTTTTAAATACCATTGATAAACAAAAGATGAGCCAGAAGATGGATGAGTGAGTGAAAGAAGATTCTGGGAAAATCTTGCTCTTGGAAATCAGTAATAGACACTGGTTTGTAATTCTCTGAGAGCTACAGCACAAAACTACACAATAACTATGTAACAGTCATACTGTATTATAGCCCTCACACTGTGAACTCCTGTCTTGCATCATTGTGGTGATGCTTTTATAAGTGACCTTAAAACACTCATTTCACAACAATCATACAGAAAAATGTGGAAGAAAACAATTACTATTGTGGGCCTTTACCATGCCTAGTACTACCTAGCTGAAACTGAATTATATATTTAAAAAAACCCTAAACAAACAAAAACCCATAAAAACACAAAACCAAACAAAACCAAACAAACAAAAACCCCACCTGAATGTCCTGGACTGCTTTTAGGTGAATGACAACCATGGGAGGTCTGGACTCAGAGTTAGCTGCCATGTAAACCAGGAAGAATTTCCAAACGTAAGGATGGGAAGACCTGGAACATTTCTTATGACTAAAACTTCCAGCTGCAGCTAGAATCTCATAACAACTTGTTTTTCTTTCTACAATAATACAAAGCAAGCATTTTTTATGGGAAAATTAGGAAAACTCTGAGGAAAACTCATCTGTGTTATTTATGAATGCATCAAGAAGCAGAGTGTTTGAGGTTTTAGCAAGAAACAGACATCCTTAAATTTGCTTCTACATTAAAACTTCCCAAGAATATTCAGTTTATTCAAGTCCATTTTGAATTAAGGGTTAACACACATTGTATATTGCCTTGGAATAGAGCCCTCTAATCTGTTTACATGCCTCTGTGTACACAGTTGTGGTAAGTAAATCACTGCAGTAGTTTTTTCTGTGTGAGGATGCAGTTTATCAGGCCTTTCTGAAACTATAGAGTGATAGGATTGTTAGCAGAAGACTGGCTAATCTGTTTTCTTCTTCAATAACATGCCATAGCCACAAACTATGCCAGTGATAAGAAAAAAGGTAAGCCATGTTGTAGGATTCTGCACCTCATTTACTCTAGGGTGAATACAGAGTAAATGTACCGACAACAAGACAATGTATTTATATTCTGTCTTAACTTGAGCCCGAAATATCTCTTCAGAAGGGTGTATATTTCATGCTAGTACCATACCTGTTGGGTTTTTGTTGTTGGATTGTGGAGGTGTAGGGTTTTTTCTTAAACTCCCTTCTTGCCTAGTAGGGAGTTGATATTTATAACCCATCCTCTTTGAGAACAGCTTTTAAATATTTCAATACCAGGAGAGAATTTGCTTCCAGATTCACTTTCAGGCTAGAGTCAAGAAATTAAAGCAATGAGAGTTTAAAAAGAAAGGCAAAGAAGAGCCTGAAGAAAACACTTGTTCAGTTGTTGGATATCTCATGAGGACGCTCTTGCTCTAAAACCTGTCTCTGCCCCAATTAGTCAGTGACACCAGGCAGAGCGATAGAGATTTCCACACCGAGGAAGGGAGAGATGAAATAATGAGGAAGGTAATACTGGGAAAAACCACTGTGAATAATGAGTTACAAATATTAACTGTCGAGCATGATTAGCTGTTTTCGGTGAGATTTCTCATGTAACTGTTCTCTTTTCAAGGGACCGAGCTCCCTTCATCTTCACATCGGAGATGGAGTATTTCATCACGGAAGGGGGAAAAAACCCACAGCGTTTTCAAGAGTTTGTGGAGCTTTGTTGTCGAGCTTATAACACAGTCAGGAAACACAGCCAGTTACTCTTGAACCTGCTGGAGATGGTAAGAAGCTTGAGGATGAAACCAAAAATCAGTTTCCTCTGGTGTTTTCTTCTCTTTTACCATTTCACTGCTGCCTCCAGTAGCACGGTGATTTGAAGAGGTATCAGCTGCACTGCTGGAAATGTTAGTGCTGCACTTCCTGTGCAAAGAAACTGTCCAGTTGCAGTACTAATTTCTGAGAAAAGAAAAGCTAAGCTGCTTGGTGTTTTTCTTTTTTTTTTAAATGCGTTATTTTTTACAAAGTATCAGAAAACTGCAAATGAACCTGGGTAGAAAAAGTTTCACATTCAGGAATTTCACTTAGCCCTTTTTCTAGGTCTTCAAAAATTCATTTCCCATTCCTGTTTGTGGTTACAAGGCAAAGTAAGCTAAATATTTCACAGAGTGGGTGATTTAACAGTACATGGCAGCATTGCAGCTACAGTGATGCCATTAAAATGGTTTTTTTCACATTTTTAGAATCCTGGAATCATTTCCACAGTCCCTTCTTAGGATGGCAGACACAGGAAAGAAAGAGTACCCATATTGACACAGGTTTAAAAATTCTTTTTTATGGGATTTTGAGACCACTAAGAGTTTTTATCCTTAAGTATTCCCATTGATTCATGTGCTGTGTCAGATTCCATAACTGCTTTATGCCTCTATTTACTTGTATATGAAAGGTTAATGATTTGCCCCTACACAGAACAATGAGAATATTAAATTAACTAATATTTGCTAAGATGCTTGGCTAAGATATTAATCCAAAACATATGTCCAGGGCCCCATGACGTAGGGGACTGGTCTGTGCATGAAAAAGTCTACATGACCTTATAAACAGAACTCCTGCTGAGGTTGGGGGACAGCCAAAAAGCTGCTCTATAAACACAACTTTATCATCTCCAACTTGTGCTGTGGGGGAGAAGGGGGAGAAATGGTAAGAATCTTTGATCTTGCCTCTTCCATCTTGTACTTCCCATGTAGTGAGAGAGTGAGGGATTTCCCAGTATGGAGCAGGAAGGATTGTTCCAGATCTCTCAGCCTTGCTGCTAAGGTGCAGCAAAACTGCATTCCCATCATAATACACAGTTTTGCCCTAGAAGCCATGAAGTTGTAGAAGATACTGTCCAAGAGCCTCTGGAAAACTCAGGAGGAAAACACCCTTGCTCTCTCGTTCACAGCAGTAATCCCTGCATTTCTGAACCTGCCAAAAACCACATGCTGCAAATATAGCTACGTCTTCTGCCCATCTCCTTGTCCCCAGTGCAGTGACTTTTTCTGCAGGCAGCAGAGATAACGATGTTAGATTACTCTGGGATAATAGAGAGAGCATGTTAGGAAAATGTTCCCAGCAGGAGCTCTGAAATAACTAGCTATCTCTGCCTGGATATAGCTGCTCAGGTTTGTCTATATTCAGGATGTGCTGCATCTTTTGTTTCTGCTGATCTTGTAGCAGAGGTAATAGTGCTGAGCTGGAAGTCAGGATCCAGACATGTTTTGATATTTGTCAATGGGTTGCAGCTCAGTCAATTGTATTGCATTTCATAATCGAAAAATTAAACTGGCAGAGCACTCACACCCCGTTGATGAGCTCTTCATGTCAGAGGGAATTAAACAAGGTTGCAAGTGCCTTGTTTTTGCCAGTGATGTTTGGAAGGATGAGTCTGGTTCTGCACTCAAAATGGGGTGTTGGTCAGAAACTGTAAATATCAAAATGTTTAAGTTCCGTGGGTGATTTCTAGAAAAAATAAATAGACTGTGAAGTTCCACTTGGACTTCACATCCATTCCCAGAAATTCAGATGTTATCATAAAGGGACAAGATTAACTAACCACTGCTTATTTGTATCAATGACAGTCTGAGATTTCTCTCAGTTTGGAAATATGCATCATTAATCTTTTGTTCTCCTCCCACATTCTGTTTTTGGAGCTGCTGTTTATAAAACATGGTTAAAAAAATTAACAATAAGACTATTTCTATAAAGTAAAGTCGTAGAGTAAACAGAAGTAGTAAACTGTGCCCTGGACCACCAGCAACAATTAGTGGTTTCTAGCAAATATAATTAGGAACAAAGGGGGTTTTGGCCTAGTTTGGGAATTAATGCTATTTCTTGGTGGTAAGCAGAATGTTTCTAAAGCTGCACTGACATTTGCTACTGGGAGTAAGAAATAATCCATGAAGTTTCTACCACTTTCAAAAGCAGAAACTTCTGTGGGAGATCCAAGAATCTGCTGGCAGAGTTCAGCTGCATAAATGCCTGCAGTTCATCTGCTTTGCTCTCATTAAAGATTTGATGTGAACTATTATAAAGAGGGTGATTGCAGGACACAAACACCTTTTGATTAGTTTAAAGAAATGCAAATTCCATTACTGTTGTAAAGATTTTTCAGATAGAAAAGTATTTAAATGGGCTTAGATGTGACCCTAGAGAGCAAGTAATTGATCCACTGTGACAAGAAACAGGTCAGCTTAATCATATGAAACAGGAGACAGCACCTACATAGAGCAAATCTAAAACTCAAGAATCTTGTGTCCCCATACAAGGCATTTCACCCTTCTAAAGTCAGAAACATCGCTTAAGAAAAGAGGATCGGGAAACACCCCCATTTTGGAGGTCCAACCAATGAAAATACCAGGACTATTCTTTTTCCATGGATGGTGGGCTGAGCATCACACAGCAGCCCTGAATCCAGGCCCAAGGAGCGTACAGGCAGCTCCACTCAGTGAGTCAGAAGGCCTGGGATAACCAAGGCTGGTAGGTCAAACCATGTGTGCAGGCAAACAAAGGCAGCAATGGAGGCACTTGAACTTAGGCATCTAAGTGACATTTGAGTTTGTCCTGTGAGACGTGTAGTTGGTTATCAAACAGTTGTTCTATGTCTTGTCTAATTATCATCCAATATCACCAGCCACAGTATTGAGAAGCCTCTTCCATCAGCAGACTAGAAACATAAAAAATGTTCTGTATGGAAAAAAAGAGATGAAGGAGTATAAAAAGCCTCTAGGACCCCCTTGCAGCCAGCAAAGCACTGTGTAGGTACTGCCCAGCTAGAGGCTTTTTTTTTATTATTCACTTCAGGAATTGTCTTTCCACCTTTGACAGTGGAGAGAACCTAAAAAAAAAAAAAATCCTGGTTTTCTGTTACATTAAAGATTGTTCAGATTATGTTTATATCTGGTATCATTCCCTTTTCTAATGAAGGGTAAAGAAACTTAATTTTTTTCCCCTTTAAATCTAAAGGGGACAGGAGTAGTTATCTTTTATAAATGGGTTGAATGTATATTGATAAATAGCACTGTGTGTCCTTCAGTGCTGAATATTGTTATTGCTCCTGCTGTCAACTCAAATTCACTTCATGCAGCTTTCTGCCTCTATGTTCCTTGCTAGGCAAAACTCTGTGAAAACAGCAGTCTAACTGTCCAGTGGTAGTATGGATTGGGGCTGATACAAAACATGATTTTCCTCATAATGCCAAAAAGAAAATATACAAAATATTGAAACTTGACTCAAAAATATTGAGAAGGTTTGAAGGAATAAAGATATATCTCTTCATGGGGAAAGGCCCCATCTCCTTTCCCCTTACACTATTCATCTCTCAACCAAACCTTATAATAAAATCAGTACTCCCTTTTTTTCTTTGCTGTTACATGAAAAACTCAGTGGGTCTTTCTCTCTGAGCTAGACATAAATATCAATGAAGAATGCACAGCAGTGACTGTAAATTCAGATACATTTCCTTCTGAACAATGTGAAGGACTGATTCTTTTTTTCCATTACACAAAAAAAGCATCCCTCTCAACTTGCTGTGATTGTCGAGTAAAATCATTAGGTTTTGAAGTGAGTAAAATATTTTGTAGTTGTTGACATTTTAAAATGCCCGGAGAGAGCTGAATGGGCAATAGAGACATTGTTGTCTACCCTGCTCATATTGTTACTTTGCAAGGGGAATATTTGCACTGTCTTTTGAACCTAATTTGGTCAACTAACTAGAGTAGTTCTGTTCCTCATCCCTGAAGAATGATGCGTTCTCCAGAGGGCACTTCTCACTGCCCACCTCAGGGCTCCTGCTATGAATCAATGCCTAAAGAAGCTTTTCTCCTCCACTGACTGTAAAGGGAGTGAGTCTATGATCCCCTTGCAGGAGGAGTCCAGAGCAGTGATGGTGGAAGGAGGAGTTACAAATGAGAAGGTGATTTGCGCTAAATTGAATTAGGACTAAGACAACACTTTGAGCGTGGTTACTGCTGTTCAGGTGGCTGGATTTGGTCACCTTCCCTTTATTACTATTACAAGGCTATGAAGGAGGCTTAGCAATGAACACCTTGAGGTTATGGTATTTGAAGAGAAAATAAATAACTGAAATGGATCATTGACTCTGACCCATGCCTCTTTCTGGTCCCTCAGTGTGAAGGTTTACAATGCAATACATTCACTTTAGTATTCCAGGCATTGCTGTAGCATCAGGATCACTTTTCAGATGATCAAACCATTATGTTTTACGGAAGACCTTTTGGTGTAAACCCTTTCTTTTCTCAGCCCCATTTCACTTAAATTTCTTTTCAACAGAACAGTGGACTAATGATCTAATATTTCTTTGCTTTAAGATGCTGCATGCAGGATTGCCTGAGCTGAACAGCATCCAGGATCTGAAATATGTGTATGACAACCTCCGTCCTCAGGACTCAGATCTCCAGGCTACAAGCTACTTTACAAGGTAAAACCAGAATATCATCTAGAAACCTTATCTTCTTCACGCATGAAGCAATTTTTCTGTTATGTTAAGAGGTTGTAATCAGGGAAATTACACAAAAGGATAATTGCTCTTCACATGTTTACTTTTAAAAAGTCCATTCCTTATGCACGTTATAACCAGTTTCCTCAAATTTCTGGAAGAAACAGTTGTTCATTTGTTTACACTTGCATCAAGTCACTTTCTCAGTGCCTAGAGATTTCTCAGGCTTTCATGGTGAAACCATCCTGGCTTATATCAAGTCAGATTTTCTCTCTGCTTTTAAATGCAGCAGCTACATGCAAATGGATCTGGACTGCATAAAGAGGTTCAACTTGTTAATGGACTGTGTGAGAGCATTCAATTTCTGAATTTTACTCCCTTTCCTCTTCTTTTTTCCTTCCATGTTGCCTCAGGCAACTTTCTCTCTGCTAGCCAGTTTCTCCATCTGCAAAACAGTGCTGGTTCTTCCTTTTAAACATCTAGCAGATCAGTCACAGAAAAGCATTGTCTGTGAATATAGATACATTTGAAGCTTGATTTATGTTAGGATAAAGAAACATTTCCCTTGTTTGTGATAATAACTGTGGATTATTGATGAGCTGCAGGTGATGTGCATAAAGTCAGTTTAAAGCCCTCAGTCCTGATCTCTCAGGTCAGACCTCTGCAGTCCATATAATTCCAGCTGTCCATGTGAGGATGCTGTAGATGGAAGCAGTGGAAACTGTCTGGATTTGGAAACTCTCCTGCTCTAGGCAAAGCATCAGAGGAAATCTCCCAGTCAGATCCTTGAGCAGCACCGTCATTCCCCAGGACAGGCTATGAATTTGCAGTCCCTGGACACCCTGTACACATACAAAACCAGTCTCTGGTGTGTCCTCTGGTTCAAGTGCAGGACACATACCCAGTTCACAGCACTGGACTCTGAATGAAGGGCTCTTTTAAAATCCCAAGCCCCAGAGGACATTCCCATAAGGCAGCACAGTTCTCTGCAGGGTGCAGACTGCCTTGAGGCAGCAGCAATCCCCCTACCCTTCAGTACAGCCAGAGGGAACAGTGCAGGGGATAAAAGAGATGAAAGCTTCAACTGGAACAGCTGAACCAGTCTCATTACTATTACAGGGGCCTATATGAAAGTTTTGGGCAATTTGAATTATGCTGTCTGTATGTCTCCTACCCATGTACTAGAATCTGAGAAAATTGAGGCAGCAGGTTTAGAGAAGGCTAGAACAGATCAGAATGACTTTCTAAGGAAAAAAAGAGAGAAACTTCTCCAACAAAACTATTTTTCCATTACTTCGCACACAGCATAGCACTGAGTTCCTCCTCCTTTAACACTTATTTTTTTCATATGCTTTCACTCTTGCCCCTTAGCAAGATTGTTATATTTTAAAACTTAATTACAGCTTCAAATTTACCATTAACTCCTACTTTATCCTTTCCTTTAAATTTTACATATTCCCAAATTACAGACTTACATTTCCACTTCAAATAGGAAATACACACTTTCTAATTAAATTGTAAAAGTTTTGATTCTGTCAAATAGTTTGGGTGGTTGTGTCTGTCTCTCATGGGTGAAAAATCCAATTTGTTTAGTTAGTGAAAGAGGGCTAGGATATACATAAGAAATAGGAAAAATCTGAGTCTTCAGAGTGAAAATTGCCTTAGTGTCACACAGAGCTCAGAGCCAGTGTCCTTCTGGAGGTGGCAAGGATCGGTATTGCTCTTCAGTTGGATAAGATATGGTTGGGGTTGGCATCACTGCAGCCTTGCTTAGCTGGGAGACTTAGCTGAGGATGAAGACTTGCTTCAGGACAGAGCTGTATCTCCAGACTCTTTCTTGGAGTTGGGCAAGGTGGTTGTGGATATTTTGAGGATTAAGGCAAAGGACTTCAGAGAGGGAATTTATCTGCAGTCTTCTTCAGCCAAAGCCTGTGGAATAGCAGCAGGCATTTGGAAGGAGGTGTGGCCCAACAGTGGTTTGGAAGTAAGAGTTGGTGAGCCTTGTTGTCTGGTAGAGGTTTGTATTTGGGTTAGGAAATCCTGTTCAGCTCAGAGAGACTATAGGTAGGACTCAGAGACTAACATGTCCTTCTTCCCATTAGATTAGGGATGGTGTTAAGGAAATGAAGCCTTTCAGATTGGAAATTCCACTCAATTCCTGCATATCAACAAAATAGTTCAAACTTGTGCAGTGCTCTGGGCTCTGTTCTTCTTTGAAACTGCATTTTCTGCTAAGATGTATTCAGTGAACTCTGGAGCTATTGTTCCAATTTCCTTTGAAATGCTGAAGTGTAGATTTGTTGATGTCCATAGAGATCATTACATCACGTAGAGAAGTCAGATATTGCTAGAGTGCATATTTTGTAAATTAATATTCTTAGGATATTTTTATTATATATGCTCATTTGCAGGAAGAAAATCCCTTTGCATTAGCTCATGAATTTCCATGGATTCTATTTCTCTTGGAGCTTTTTCCCCCAAAACTTTATTCTAATTTCTATTCATTTGAACACCATTTGTGTTAATTCAAAGAGTGTATTAGCATTTCTATATGTTTAAACATGGACAGAACATCAGGCTTAATGTCTAGTAGTATTTGAACTTCCAGAAATTTTATCCGGGCACTTTTCAAAATTAAGACTTTAGGATGGCCTGATAACTAGATCCATGCAGAACTTGCCCCCAGGTAAAAACATTTTCCAACTTACTTCTAGGAATGTTAATATCTTGAGATTTTTGGGAGCTTTGTGTTACCTACGTCGTCTATATTGCTGTCCTGCAGAAAAAAATCATTCTTATCTCCTTGTTATACAAAATATCAACATGAAAAAAAAATCCATTTATACTTCTCATGGTCATTCTGTAGCTTATTCATCTATTTTTCAAGCTGTCCTTAGAAAGACAAGGAAATTGGAAGTTCTGATTATTAGCACAACTTCTAGTAGCTTTTAAATCCCTTGCAGTTTGTAGCTCCTTTTTCTCTCTATAATTACTTTCAAAAACACTTTATTGCTTTTAAAATGCTCTTTTCTAGAGAAGGAGTGTGGTCACTGGAATGTCAAACACTGCCAAAAGAAAGTTATTTCTTGTTCTGAGTACAAGGTAGTTATTGTAATCTTTCAGATTCAGTCATATAATGTATCTACTGAAAATCCCAATCTTCTGTAGTGGAAATAGGAGAAAAGTATTTCTCTGTATTTCTGTAGAAATGGGTTGCTTTAAGCAATTTTCTGAGTTTGGTTTGAGCAATAATAGTGACATTGCCCCTGCTGTTGTTTAAAAACAACATGAAATGATGAATGATGTCACAAATATTCCTGGCAGAACAGTGTTAATTTGTTCTTTGCTGTCACCTTCTTAGCCAGCAGAACAATTCTATCAGAGTTTGGACTGTAACATACTGACCCCTGTCAGCATTGTGAAACGTTCTGTGTTTTACTAAATTCCTTTAGTCTCACTCTTGATTTAAGACATGTTCAACAATCTGTGGTCTCATTTGTGCACTGTATTCTTCTCACCTCGGGTCAGTTCCCTGTTAGGAGCTGATGAGCAGCAGTGTTAAGCCTCAGAGCTCACAGCCTTCTGGAAGGTCACACCCTCAGGTCGTGGATAAACAATGCAGCAATTGAGAGTTAAACAAGAGTTTCTGTGTCTCCTTTTCAGTCCCGTGCACCTCGTGCCAAACGAAACATCGTTGTCTCTCCAGCATCTGCCCTGAACTCAGTTTGATCCTTGAAACTCAGTTTGATCCTTTATCCTCCCTCTTTCTTCTTCCCCTGACAACACAGTTTTACCAGAAACTGGAAGCCCATCTTACCTCTGGATATAAATTTTCCCTGTGGTTTTCTGCAGATGTCTTCAAATGTCAGGATGGTGTGCGGCGCTGCCCGACATTTTTAATGTACCTGCAAAGGAGTGTATTTAAAGGGGTGTTTAAAATTGTTTTTAAGAGCATAAAGTTAGCCTAATGCAGTGAATGGAGTTGATTTCAATTGATTGCAGCATGCAATCTAACCCACTCATAGAAGCCCATGAATAAGAGATGCAGGGTGGATCTGACAATTACGAGGGAAGCTCATTGCATATCTTCAGCAGCCTGATTGAGGGAGGTGCTGCTTGGGTCAGCTACTGTCTTTGCTTATTTATTAATGTAGTCATTTGTTAGGTACCTCTTATTGTCCAGGTCAAGCATATCCACTCCAAGCCACAAATGCCAGCAGCTTTCAGACCAGACAATTCACAGTAACTCCTTTCAAAGCATGACACTAATCTCAAACTGCAGACAATCCCTGTTTCTCAGGTGGCTGCTGATATTTCAGCAAGAAATTTCCCAAGCAGCTAAAAAACACAGTGAAAGTCGGTGGCATCTGAAAACACATAGACAAAAATAGAGCTCTAAACTTTATTTCACTGGCATTCAAGTAGTTTGTAAAGATTGTGGTATATGTGCCTCAGAGGAATAGAAGGCAGACTTCCTCCTTGAATTGAGGTTGTTTGAGGCATTACAAAGGCTGTTGCACAAACTCCACATGCCACCAGCTCAGGGGAGAGGAACTTCATCTGTCCTGGGAGAGGCTCATGGGAGGACTAGTAGGGAAACTAGACTGGATGATGCACTTCAGGAAAGTACCTGATGTGTTCAGCCCATGGGATAAGAGTTAGTCTGGAAGTAAACCTGGACTTTAAAGCCTAGCAAGTCAAGCGGTAAAAGGAATAAGATTATTGCTTGTATACTATCACAGTGGGGAATAAGGTACCAAACTGAAGGGTTATCACTGCTATACACGAAAAGGATACCAACTGTCCGTGAATAAATGTCAATGAAAATTATAAAAGCCCTGTTGCTGAAAGCAATAATATTCTGGAAAACTCTGCTAAGAGCTTTTTGGGGCATACTACTCAACTTGTTTTAAAATGGAGCCTGGTAAATTCACAGATGCATAATATAAATGAAACAACATTCATTAACATCTGAGAATCCCATGAAAATAAATTTTGCTGATTAACCTTTAAATTATTTTCAGGCCTAGATGGAAATGAGAAGCAGGATAACATCAAGAATGATAAAGAAAATTATTCTGAATTTGGAGTGAATAATAATTATTATATATACTAAGACTAAGACCTTGAATAACTAGTCAGTAATAATGAGTGTATGTGCTGTGTAGAAATTCTGATGTGTCCAAAGAGATCCAAGCACCAGCCCTCAGAATACCAGTCCATAAGAAATGTCTGCTTCCTAATCATTAGTCACTGTTGAAAACATTAGCAAAACTTTTCACCCATCTCTGTTTACACAAGCAGTCAGCCAGTCTGCTCATATTTTACCTGATACTGTAATTTGACAGTTCTGTAGAAAGACTGAGAACCAAATCTGAAATTCAAAGTCAATTCAGCAGGTGGAAAGCGGAAAGTCATTACTTTTCAGTAATCTCAGATATTTAATTCACTTCTCTGAGAAGCAGGTCAGACACCAATGTGCACAGTTATTATCATGTAGAAAAATAACCTTTTTGTGCCTGAAAACTGTGTTAGCAATATTGTGATTCACTGCTGATGTTACTCTAGTTAATGACAGTTTCCTGTTTTCTTCTGATTAACCTGTGCTTTTGATGTCCTTCGTATTGGTCACTTCAGTTTTGCTTTCTATGGACCATCAGGCACTAATTCTTTAAGCAGCTTGGGCTACCAGAGCTCTACAATAAATAAGAAACTTTTTATCATCTTCACTAAGACAGAACCAGCTTTAGGCACAGGCAAAGGTGGTAATGGCCAGGGAGCAAGAGGACCTTGACAAGAAATACCCATGACCTTACCAGCTTCTTTCCACTATTGCTAATCTTAAAGTGGCTACAGAAAAAAGAAGGTGTATGGGGACCAGGGGGAGTTCAAGGAGAAACTTCCACCACTGGTCCTCAGGAGAACTTTAAAAATGCTAACAGAAAGGGGAATCAGATACCACAGCCTGGTAAACTGGGTCATTGAACTAATCCAGGCCAAGAATATACTGCAAAATTTCGAAAAGATACGACACATGGGTTTGACGTACTCCATTGCTCCATGTGTAGTTAGGAACCAGTTTTGGCAAAGAGGCTTTCCATAAGAAAATTTGTCCTTGAAAGAAAGTGCAGAGAACTGTAACAAGAGTTGTTCTACCTTGCTGTGAAGACACGCTCAGGGATGGCATCAGAATAACAAAGAGGCCTTTTTAATTCCTTGTTGCTAGTATGGTATAAGGATTGCTGAGTGGTTTTTACTCTGACGAAGAGGACTGCATACAGACAGAACAAAATATTGAGAGGGGGAGAAAACAATCTATGCTTCTGTTTTTATTTGGTTTTAAGTGTAATAATTAAAAATAACTCACAGGAAAAATTTGCAACAATGACAAAACAAGCCTCTGTTTAGGTTTAAAGTATATGATTAGAAATCTGGGTTTTAAAAGTATTTTAGAAGCCTAAAGGACCCATGAAAAGAACAGTGGTTCTCTGATATCAGGCTGTTCTAGGAAGTGATGCTGTCTGAATTAGTACTAATTTACAAGTTGAGGTCTGCTTTATGTGAATTAAATTACACCATGTTTAGCTGAAAAGTTATCATGTCTCTTATAGTAATATGGACAATTCCCTAACTGCTGTGCTATTCTAAGGGCAGTTACAGATTCTATAACCTAATATCTCAATGATTTAGGAAGTGTTTCAGTTACACATTAAATTAAACACGTAGGAGTTAAAAAGAAAAAGTTCACCTCTGATGCAACCCAATTAATCAGCACTGAATTGATCTTGTACTAATATTTTGAAATTAGGTTTGTTTTCTTGTTTTACCTTTGAGCGTTAATTTGTTTAATTTATTAAATAGTCTGCATGTATCTCTTTCTAGAGAATGTAATTAATAATTAAGATAATTAACCAAATCAATTCAGAGATACTTTTCCTTGTATGACATTGAGAAAAATATATACATCTTCTCAGTTTACCATACCTGATTAGTGTATGATATTCACTCACTATTTTGAATAACATCTGAATTGGGGAGGGGGGGAAGTGAAGGGGGAACTGGGGAACTATTTGTGGGTAGAAAATTCTTTCTGGTATTGTTGCATCTGTGAAACTACAGACTTTAGCCAGAGCATCCGAGATCATGAAAATTAGGCTAATGTGATGAATGGAGTTGATTTCAAATGATTGCTCTATGCATTCCAACCCACTCAGAGAAACCCATGAATAAGAATTTAATTTGAAATGACAGGTGAAGCATTTGCTCAGCTTTCAACAAGAGATGATGAAGGTGGTTAAGGATATTGTCAGCCCTTGTAACCTACTTAGATATGGTCAAAAAAACTGGAAGAAAAAAAAAGAAAAAAAAACCCACAGTAAAACCCTGTTTGCTGCCATATGGCCTGAAACTAATGACTTGTTGTTCTATAACAACAGAACCTGTCTTGAATATCTTCAGAGAACTGTAGAAATAAGCAGGGAAACAGAAAAAAAATCACCATCACAAATTAATAGGTCTTAACAATTCAATTAGCAATTGAATTCAAGAGGGCAAGTGTTTTCTAATCAGTACTGCATCTTACTCTTCAAAGACCTGTGATTATCTTGCAGTGTTATTTCTCAAGTCAAGTTCATTTTTACTTTAAAACACATTTGCAGTACATATCTACATGTATATCTAGGTTGGTTTTATCTACTGTGTCTTCTCTGGTGAAGGATCTTAAAACTCTAGGAAATCAGAACTGTGTTCTGCCTTCCCTTGCACAGGGATGAGATGGAGGGAGATACCAGGAGAAAATTTCTCTCTCTTTCTTTTTTTTTTTTTTTTAATTCATCTTAAGCAGTTCCACAGGGATAGAGCTTTTAAGAGCTGGGTAGAGGATTTAGCAACACATCATGCACAGCTAAATCACAAATTGAATCCAAGAGCCTCGCGCAAACACGTGTAAGTCCACGTGAGGTTTGTGCAAGCAAAAATAAATACAGTAACTCCTGCGTTCTCTCCTCCTTGTCAAAATAAACACATGTTGTTCAACCCTAGAACCCCTCAATACACACATGGAAATGTTCTGCTTGTCTCTATTGTCTGAAAGAAAGCTGATGGTATCCTGGTAATGAAGAATAACTGCTCCAAGCCAGGTCATAAGGCAGGCTATGGCAAGAGCGCTCCTTTAAGCAGTAGAGCTCCGGGCTGGATATGCTGCCTTGCTGCAATTAGCAGTGATTGGTGTTTATGTGGGTATGTGTTTGTGTGAGGTGGGCTTTAGAATCTGTGGGTTTTTTGGTCTTGCATCCATGAAAACAGGGATCAAGAAATGGAAACAAAAGAGATGCATAAGTAGCACCTCTTCTGTTTATTTGTTCTTCAGGAAAATAAAGGAAAGTTTGGAGTGCTTCCCTGTTAAACTCAATAACCTGATCCACACACTTGCACAGATGTCAGTGACAGGCTCTGCAAAGCCTCCAGCTCCAGAGGCTGTCCCCCAGGAATGGATGATGCTGGACACAGAGAAGTCAATCGCAAGAGCCACCATTTTGGGATTCAGCAAAAAGCCTGACTCTGTATGTGTTATATTCTTTCCCTGCCCTCATTGCCTTGATCTTTAATGACTCCTCTGAGAGCTTATATACTCTCCCTCTTCCTTTATAGAAGATTTGCTTGTGCCCCATTAAAAGGATCATGGGATGAACAGCGGTGCCATAAGCAATGAGCTACCAGAGAGAAAGAGCACCAGGCAGACAGATATTTGCAGGGAGCCATTAAGGGAACAGTTCATGCCCTGTAGTGAAAAATAAATCAGGAGCTAATTAAAGCATCCAGAAGGAAAGCATGGCACAAAATTAGGAAGCCTAATAGAAATTGGAGGCTGTTATATGATGCTTTAATGGTGCACTATTAGTTTTCACACACTGCAGTGATCTTTCAGCGTTTGAGTTGTATGCTATCCAGGCAAGTTTCTCTTTCTGTGCAGCAAAGACTGTGAATTACAAACTGAATTCTCTGGCACTTGGCACTACATTAAAGGAAGGTTTTTCTTTGTTAAAATCACCCTATATTTTCTCCTGTACATTTTTTTTTAATGTGCCTCTCTGATCATTTCTCTTCTCTGCCTCTCCCTTTTCCCCAACACAGATATATCTAGTCCAGGTGGTGCAAACCTGCAACGTGGTCACTTTCGTGGAAAAATCGTTCGACCAGTTCTCAAAACTTCACAGCCATCTCCAGAAGCAATTTCCATCTCATGCCCTCCCAGAGTAAGGCAGCATATTAATGAATGTTATTCTGCTGTTAAGTGGTTCTCTCTGTGCTCAGATAGATCTGTGAGAATTTGTGTGGCAGACGTATTTTTAGAAACACAAAGGCAGCACGACATATTCTATCAAGGCTTCTATTCAGCCCCAGAAGAAACTGAATCATAGACCACTGTGACAGTCTAGCTTTTATATATTTTATTGTTCCTTTTTTAATGGGAGGAGAAAAGGGAGAACAGCTTGGACCTGACAAAACTATTCCTGAAATCAAAGGATAAGTGGTGGTGTATCCATTAAAGACACGATAAGGCCTTTAATAGTTCTTATTTTCTTCATGATGCTTATCTAAAATTCATTTAAAAAATCCATATATTAAAGCAATGTTTACATTGGAATATTTCCACTGGATCAGAACAGAAACAAGCTAATCTCTGTCAGTGGCCAGCATGAACAACCTGCTTACAAAAAGATGCACATATTCCTCAACCGAGAAATATACAATAATCTTATGTACTATCCTTCCTCCAAAACCCAAACTTTGTGCCTGGCATAATTCAGATTAAAATCTTCGAAAAATATGCTGCCATTATTTGCAATAATTCTGAATATTAGTTTTTGTCCGTGTGCATGTCTATTCCTGCTTTTCATTTCTGAATCTTATTTCTTCATATTTTCCTGGGACAACGAGTCCCATGGGTTTTTTCTGTCTTACTTTAAACGGTTTTTTTTTTATGTAATGATTGTCCATGGTTTTAGTAATACAAGTGGAGTTATTTTTTTCTACAAATATCTACAAATATCATATACATTATACTGAATCCCTCACTGAGAACAAAGTACTCCTCTCCACACAGTCATTCTGAGTCACCTGATACAAGCCCTTCTTCAGGCTCTATCTACAGTAAAACATAAAGCTGGCCTAAAATACGAGCAGTTTACTTGAGCCGAGTTGAGATTCAAGTGATATGCTTGAAAAATATAAAGGTCTGGCATTTGACCTGAAGTACATAGCCACAAACAACATTGTTTTGACTTAAAATCCAAGAATTTCAGATCCAAATTTTATATTCCCTCAAGCTTGTGAGAAGCATATAGGTAAATGGCTTTAGTTTAGTTTATTCTGGAGAATCTTTCCTCTACCTGAGGGGACTCCAATTTGATTCATTATGACTGGCTCACAGGAACTGGTTTGCAGCAGCTGGTGAGAATTGAAATTTCACTAAACAAATACTGAAAGTGCTTGAATGATGATTTTGATTTTGATTTGGAGATATTTACACACTAACCATTAGGTTGTAAAATAAAATACGTAACAAGTACCTGAATATGACAGAGCCCTTTGGAAGAAAATACATTTCTCTGTAGAAATGCATAGACCTCAGAAACCCCAGAGTGAATTTCAAAAGTAGTACTAACCATTTTTCAGATAAATCTACTTTTAATAAAATCCCTCACAACATTTTCACAAAGAGTGTTTCAGAACTCACAGAGGGTTAATCTGCACATACTGAGGCTGCCTCTAAGAGCACCAGGGCTTTATTGTCATAATTCAGTCCCAACAGTAACCTGTCACTGCATGATCTTTCCCCAAGATTGTGTTAAAGCAATTCATTTTATGATGTTTCTTGATAGCCATGTTTTTTAATGTTAAAGTTTTGGGTTGTTTTCTAACAGAACTTCATTAATTTGAGGCTTTTCATGTATCCCAGATTTTATCCTAATAATAAAAAACTAATTATTTCTTTATAGGAAATTGTTATTATTACTGAAACTACCATACCATATCAGACCATTAGTCTGTCTGCGTGTTACAAAGCTCCAACTCTGTCTGATGCCAGATGCTTCAAAGGAAGGAAAAATCCTTGTTCCACAATGTAACCACAAAATCAGTTTAAAAATGTATGATTTAAAAAGTAAAATGTTTATTATTGCTAGAATAATTGGAACTGCTAACAGAAAGGACTTGGTTTCTGCTTTGTATTGATTCTATGAAATTGTATATATTTATGTCTCATTAGGAGAAAACAATGCAGTATGAGAGTGCTTCATACAAGTGCCAAATACTGACTATATTAGGGAAACTAATGGCAAAAGTTCAGAGTTCTTAGAATCTGAAATTTTGCTATTGACATGTGAACATTCAGCCCATATTTACAAATCAAAGCACAGCTGCCCCAAGCAAGCCCTTGCAGTCTCGCACCCTCCTTCTCATTTGGTTTAGGAGAGAGTATTAATTGTGTTTATCTCTTGTTTTGTTAAAGGCCAAAAATCTTTTCACCCAAGAAAGCATTCAAGTGACATAATTTGTACACAGAACAATGTTCAAGCTAACAAGTAGGGACTGGAATCCTCTGTGGAGGACACCTGCACATGGTGCAAGTTTATATTCTTCTGATCCACGTGAGGCAGATGCAAAGCTGAATGTCAGGTTGGGAAGTTCACCTCTTCTAACACAAGTGCATTCACAGGGCAAAGCTGGTTTTAGCTACAAATGCAATTCAGCAAAAGCCCAAGGGCCTTCTAAAGAAGGGTTCGGTGCCACCACAAGGTTCTTACTGTCCTTCACTCCAGCAGTTATTGGTGCTATCAATCAGCAGCTTCTCTGTCCTCTCTTTGGCCACTGTGCTTAGGATGCATCTTCTGAGGGCCTGCATTTTACAGCCAGGGCCCTCTCTGTGTGTTACACAGCCTAATTCATTTTAAGCTGCTTCCAAACAGCTCCTCCCAATAATCCCTTGAAAGAAGTCCTTTTGTGCCCCAGAAAGTAACCCAGAACATTCACAGGCTATCTATGTGTGCCAGATGACCTGGGCTCTATTTTTATCTGTGCAGCTCATATATGTCACGATCCTGGGTCATATCACTCACTTCCCCCACTTCTTTATGTGTCCTGCCACTGTGATTTCATGAGGCTTGAGCTGCCTCTTGCTATTCATCTGTCCAGCCCCTCAGCCAGCCCCGATCTTTCAGTGCCATGGGCAGAAATAATGGAAAGTTCATACATACACACAGTATGCTGCTGTCATCCTGGTCCCTTGCTGGTGTAATTGCAAACTGAGTTATACCAGCGCTGAGTTTTTCCTCACAGTATTGCCCAGCTGCCTTTCTAAAGGCTGGCCAAGTGTCCATTTCCGATGTACCACATGCTAGACAGCTCCTTAGTCATTTGTCTGGAGCCTTCAGATGCTTCTTGAGGTCTAGTGGATAAACAAGGTTGTAGCAGAGAAAAAAAGTGGTTTGTAAACAAGACACAGTTGACTATTTATAAGTGGGGGTGGTTGAACATGAAATATAACCAGATCAAAACTTCTGCCTTTGTCTATCCCATACATTAGAGGGCATAAAGCATAATGTTGATTAAGAATCCAACTATGAGCAATCCATATCACAAAACCCATTACGTGCAATTTAGCACAGATAGGTTTTCTAGTGCTCCTTTGACCTGAGAGATAAATACCCTTTGTCAGGGCAAGGTTAATATAAATTGATTATGTGTATTGTTAAAAATCTAACCTTTTGACTGATCTAATGTTGTCTCTAAAATGCAAAGATGATTCAAGTAAAAAAATGTGAGGTTTTTGACATTTTCGACCACCAAAGCATTTGAAAATTGACATAAGGCCATGCTATGCATATATGATTAATCTACTAAACTGAAATTAAATTCATCTTAATAAAAACTCAGCAAGACCATTACTTTTACTATTATTATTGTTATTGTCTTTGTTGGGATTGATTTTTTTACTATGGCAATCGTTTGTTTTCATATATTGCTTTTATTAGGCTAGTGCCTGAAATTACATATGGTATCAGGGACCTGCTCTGGAAAACCTATCTACGCTCTAAATAGCTGAGGTAAAAATGCAAGCAATGATATATTCATCAAATGTCTCATTGTTGCTGTAAGGCTTTGGTACTCAGTATTCTGTTGTAAGGGTGTGTACAGCGTGAGCCCTGGCTGAGATCAGAGATCTACTGGGCACAGTGCAAAAAGTGGGGAGGACAGTGCTTTCCTTTTCCATAAAGGGCTAACTATTTAGATATCATAAAATGCAAATAACTGCCTTTTAGGTTTTATTTATTTAATTGCTTTTAAATTCAAGATCTAGACAGAAAAAGTGCTACAGGATGAAACAAAATATCAGCAAATTATTAGAAGAACCAGAGTGAGAGGGTAAAAAATCCTCTGGACCCTGTACCCATCCCTACCTGCAGAACCACTTATAAAGTCTTGACTTTCTTCTGTTAAGTAGCATTGGAAACGTTTTCAGCAAACACAGTTACAAGAGTTATGCTTATGAATATTTTTCTGTTGCAGGTTTCCCCACTCATGGCATTTACCTTTTGCGGATCTTGAACATAAAAGAGTGAAGGATTTGAATCTCTATCTGAAGAAGCTATTAAGTGGCACCAAGAAACTGGCTAATGTGAGCATTTCCAGTTGTTTTTTTCAATTTACATATGAATGCTAGTAGCATTGTACCAAATGATTCAGGAAGCCTTCCATTGCCCCATTTGGGGGAAAAAAAAATTACATAAGTGACACATCTTCTAATGCAGCTGTTTTGGGATGGAGCCATTACAGCATTCATCAGAACTTAAGACAAAGACAAGTATGACGGAGAAATAGTTTATTAGACCTGGCAGGGCATTTTTCAGAAAAACTTTTCTTCCTTTGCTGCCTTCGAAAAGTAGTGATTCACTGAATTTTTGACAGAAAGGAGTAGGTTCTGAGGAATGCAATGTCTAAAAAAGGAGTAAGCTTTGAAATATTGAAAAGTCTGATTTTGACAGCTGTTAAATGAAAAGTTCCATTCTTTCAGCCCAGAAATACCCATTTCAAAATTTGGTTAACATGTAGAAGAAATTGTTTTGCAAACATAAGACCAAATCTAGACTGTTTCAATATTATCAGATTGATACATTGTGTCTATTAAAATTGGGGGTTTCTCATTTTTTATTCATTATTGCCTTCTGAGATTTGAGGTTCTTCTTCTGTTTAACAGTGGAAAGTTGAAATGGTAACAAAAAACATTGCCTTTTCATTATCTGGGCCAGAACTAAGCTTTATGCACCTCAGCCTCATAAAAACCACATCTGAGAGCAGCTGAGGGGCTGCATGCACCCTGGGAAGATGTTAAATCATGATGCTGCACCACTTCAGAAGGTGAATGGTCAATAACTGGCAGTGACACTGAGGTCTGAGAGAAAGGAGCATCCTCTAGTGCCCAGCCGTTGGCAGGAAAGCTGTCAGGCAGGAAAAAAAAAGGTGTTTTACATTAGATCCAAGGCTTCAGTGGAGGCCAGGAAATTGAAGTGAGCTAAGGCACAAGCTCATGCATTGATCCTGTTGTTTCACTGGTGGCACATCCTCTGGCAGAACCTGAGCCTCTGCCAGGTGAGCCATGTCATGGCCTCAGGCCCCCAACTCAAACTGGAGCTGCTTTGGTTTAATAGCATAGACAGTCTAGGTTATCAAAGGAGGGTATGACAGGATCTTTGTTCTCCAAAATTTCAAACATCTTCCAGGAGGAGCAAAATGTTTGCTGTCTAACTATAAAATTTTCCCAGCTGTGTCTGTGTAATGGAGATTAAAGAGGAAATTGTCCATATGCAAAACAAACAGGATTTTTCTCAATAATATGAATATAAATTCTGAGCTCTGTGTTGAAATTGAGAAGATTTCCAAAGAGGATAAAAACTATTTGTCTCACAGAGTTACACCTAATTGGGTACGAACAGCTGACTTGGGTGCTTGACTCCCTTGACTGAACCTGCCAAATAATCTGCACAAGTTTGGTTTGATTGTTGTGGAATTAAAACACAAGAAATTCCACCTCAACATGAGCAAGAATGTCTTTACACTGAGGGTGGCAGAGCACTGGCACAGGCTGCCCATGGAAGTCATGGAGTCTGTCTGGAGATGTTCCAAACCTACCTGTCCGTGTTCCTGTGTCACCTGCTCCAGGTGCCCCTGCTTTGGCAGGGGGCTTGGCCTAGATGATCTCCAGAGGTCCCTTCCAACCCCAACAATCCTGTGATTCATTTCTGACGCTCACATTCGGGTCGTGGGTTCATTTTACATTAGCGCCTTTTGGTCACAGCTGAGGGAAAGCTGATATAAGCCAGTGACCTAGAAATGAAAAGCTGGGTATCTTCTGCTGTGCTCTGGGCTGCTGGAAGGTACACAGATTTTCAGTTTGGGCCAAGCACTGCTGTGTAGAAGCCTAATATTCAGATGAAAAATTATACTGCTTAAGGCCCCGGGATAGTAATAAAATTGTTTCCCGGCCACACGCAGAAGCTCTGTTCTCCCTCCCAATCCTTGGTCTGTGCATGGCTTAGTGATCAGCCAGAGTAGGCTGCCTTGCAATGGGTTTCCTAATGCCCTTTGTGCTCCCTTTATGGGCCTGCAGCATGCATCCATGGAGCTGGGAATGTCCTCCCAGCAAATTGCTGCTGGGACACTGGGGCACAGCCACAGCTAGGGTAGGCAGAGGCTTGGGGACACACGCTGTTGTGGCTCTGAACAAACCCAGAGGGGTTATTTCCAGGCTGGCACAGCCTGTAGTACTGAACCTTGAGGAGAAGAAAGCAATTCTGTGCCTAAAAGGGCTGCACTGCTGCTGGTGTGCTGGACTTGGAGGGCACGACAACAAACGGAGCAATGAGCAAATTGTTTCCATCTGCAAAGTGCTGCTGCATGTGGGAAATCATCTTGCTTACCCCCATGCAGCTAACCTGCAATTCTAGATGGTAACCTTTAAAGTTATTGATACTCCATAAACATTGAATCATTATTTTTGCTTCAATATGCTTCTCCTGCTGGGAGATGTGAGAAATTTAGAAAATACTGACGTGTTCTGACCCACTTAGAACAAGGAGATCAGCCGGTGGGTAATTTCCTTTGTGTTCTTTTTTATTTTTCACTTTGGTATGACTCTTTTAAAAGTGTTGTGGTGTCTTCTTGGATTTAGCCTGAGCAGAAAGCCAAGCTAGGAGGCTTTCTTGATAAAAATAAATACAATTATTTTGTCTCTTTTCATGCCTGTGACAACTTTGCAGTCGAATTTGCCCTTTTTCTCGAGTTGCCAAGGAGCCTGGCTGAAACCATTTAGTGAGTTGTCTGTTCTCAAGCACTGCCAGTGTCATTCCTATGAAATAGTAAAACTATGTAGGAATAAATAATTAATTCATAAATTTGTGAAGAAATCTAGTAAGAACAGATGCCTGTAGAGGAGGACTCCTATTACTTCCTTGCCACAGTCTTTTCTTTAGGCTGAAATGTACCTGTACTGTATCGTAGCTGTATTGTAGCTGTACAGAAGGCTGGAGTATTGTCAGAGATGGAGAGAAGAGCTTTTATTTCATTATAAAATACCCTTGTTATCACTGTAAACACATTACCCTGATTGACTAGACACCATTTTCAGCTCTGAAAAATTTAGTCCAGTCCACACAGGACTGACTACATGCTTGGTTCTACCAATTAAGTAATTATAAATCCTAGAAATGAAGAAAGAATCAGATTATATCCAAATTCCTTCCTCAGTCATGCCTTAAGTGCATGCTTTTTAGTCCAGACTAGGTTCTGATTATGCTAATTGTATTATAATTAAGAGTATGTCAGAATGTCACTGACCTTTTTTGCTAAATGGTTGGAATGAAGGAGTAGAGGTGGAAAACAGCTGCCTTCTCATTCGCACTGTGCTCAAATGGAATGAAATGTTTCTTTAAATACTTCTTTAATAAAGAAACTTTTCCTTTCTCCATCCCTGAACTTTAGAATCAGATACAATAAATGCAGACACATCAGTTGAAGGAGATTCTTTTTCTTGGACTAGTCTAAATGCTTAAATATGCTCATGCCCATCCCTATTCAAAGCATTTCTTTAAGTCTGTAGTTTAAATTTGAGCATAAGCCTCACTCATTGACTTCCTCTTAGATATTTGTTGAAGAATTGCCTGGAATAGGAATGATTTTCTTAAATTCAGGTTAACACTGTGTTATAAATAACTCCACCACCAGACTGTACACATGAACAACAAGCTGTATTCATTACATCAATCACTAAAAGGCAGAAGCTGGTGCACCTTCATTTTTGTACTGAGTCAATTAGGACAGGATCAAAAACAGGTTTCAGCACCTTTTTTTTAATTTCATTCTACTCCTCCCAAACCAGTGGCAATATTTATGGTCACAGGATTTCTGCCTGACACACTGTCTGCATACACTGAAGTACCTGGCTTTTCTAGATCTGCAAGGCAACATCCTCAACAACCTTTAGACTTCTGGAGTTTTTCTTCATGAACTTCCAAAACACCAAATGATGTCACCAATAAGAGGTGAAGCATAAAAAACCAGTGAACTGAAGGTTGGTAACACAGAAGGAGACAAAAATATACATTCTCAAAGTGTAAATCAAACCTGTGACAAAAGGCAGCTGCTGCTGACTACTGTTACATTTTTCTGTTTCACTCAACTCCAACTGAGTGATGGGCTGAGTGGAGACTTCAGCCCAAATCTCATAATGTGAATTAGGGCTGCCCTAGTGGCTTGTCATTCTGTGGCTGTATTGTAGAAAGGTTATACATTGCCTGGGGACACAAAAGCAAGGTAAGGCTCCATTAATTTAGTCTGCTTTTGGCCCTGGTGTCAAACTGCAGCATTCACAAAACTGAATGTCTTCATGCTTATCTTGGAAAGACAACTTGGACGTGGCTTAGGCATTGCAAATGAAAAATCTAAAAGTGACCCTAAAGCAATATTTCATATTGCAACTATGTGCATTTGGTGCCCTCAGCCAGCTGGTAACATTGCATGGATAATCTTCCCATCACTCATCATTTAAAAGATGTGGGATTTAATTTGCGGATATTACATAGTTATTGAATAATAACTATAATATAATAACTGTATATTATACAGTTATTGATAACACATCTCAGACATTAGATTTACGTACTGATCTTGCAAACTGCATAGTCTTAAATGAACTGATGTTAATTGTCCAACATCTTTCACATAGATTTGTTTTGTGTGTAACTTCAGCGGGCTTGGATATTTGAGGGGGTTTGTTTACTGTGGTGAGGGCATTTGACAAACATAATAGTAAGTGCAGGTGCACAGTAGGCTAATCAGTATAAAAAAGAAATAAATTAGGTCTTTTGGGGTTTGAGTCTGTAAAGCTTTTTAAGTATCCAAATTAAATAAGGACTTTGGGGGCAAAGATAAATCTAATGCAAGCAGGTAAGCAAACAGTGGCAGTGTTTCAGCTATGGATAGGTCCTATAAACAGCTTTATGGTGACTTATAGGCTGTATAAAAGGGCTTTAAAGAGGGTGTAAATGGAAGTGATTGTAAATTATGTTCACTCATTTTCAAGCATACAGTAAAAATGAGGACCACAGCATTGTTCTAGGGTGACTAATGTTTTACACTTTAAAAGTAATCAAGTTTGATAAGAGCTTCCCATATTTCATTTGTGTTTTATTCACTGGCGCTACTCGGGATTTGCAGAGATGAGAAAACAGCTCCCACAGTGCCCGGGGGGGCACAGAACGTGGTGGTACAAAGTGCCCCCGAGGTGTGTGGGTCCCTTGAACTCCCACCACTCCTGCACTCCTGCAGCAAGGCATCCAGCAGGTCCAAAATGGGGAGGGTTCAAAGTCCTCTCTTTTCCGCCGTCCTTTCCTGAAGTTTTAACAGCTGCACCAAGGTCAGCTTTTTCTGGTTTCTTTCTTTCCTGCTGATTCTCCATCCTGTTAAAGTATAACAGGCGCATGGGTGTTCTCTGACCCCAAATCTACTCTAACACAGCTGAAAAGAAAGCTGAAAGCAGAGGGGAGGCCACTTTTCTTTCTATCAAAATTAAATCTGGCTTGAAATCTGGCTGTGTTTCACTACCAGCAGAGTGCTTTTCTAGTTAGTCTCTGATGGAGAGCAGTAGACCAATTCTACCCTGCTAAACTGGTGCAGGGCTGTGCCAGCCCCCCATGCCACTGAAATTGTTTATCCTAGTGCAAGTAAAAGGGGAACTTGTCCCTTTTGATTTTAATGGCTGAAAAAAAGGGGATGTGTGAGTTCTAACCAAACTGCCCATGTGTACTTGGCTGCTCCCCTTTAGGCTAATGCTACTAAGTGACCTGCAAAATATCAATGTTACCTATTAAAGACTGTCGTCTTCTTAGGTAAGAATGGTTAGGCAAACTGTAGGAGGCATTCCTAAGAATCCATAGGTCTGTGGCATTGCAGGGAATTTCCATCTTCTGATTTAAAGGTAAAAATTCCAGGGGGGGAAAGGGTAAGTGTGTGCTTGTGGTCATCCTCAGCACCTACCTTTCTGCCAAGACCATTGCAGGGTCTCTAAGATTCCCACCAAGGGTCACAGTTTCCTAAAAAACAATTGCTTGTTTAGAGGTGGGCTCTATCCACTTTATACAGTGTGGCCATACACATGTTCAAAGCTGTAATATACCTGTTTCTATTTAGCAGTGTAATTAGATGCATGCCTAATTCTGAGCTTATACTCCCATTAAGTGGAGTCCAACTGATCGAGGTCCCACTGATTTAGGATTCACCTGAAAGTTCAGTGTGTGCTTTGGAGCTCTGCTGACACAGGGTGAACTTAAGGCACTGACACGGTTAGCTGGTGGAAATCTAAATGGTTGAGTCCTGCAGCAGGCAGATTAGCACAGTTCAGGGGGAAATTGCTGTCTTATGAATAACAGTGTGCAAAATGCTTATCTCCCCAAACACATAGGAGACATTCCCCCCACACACACTGCTTTTGAAGCACTTAGCCCTGGACAGCCTGCTTCACCTGCCCCTGCCACATGACCTGTTCCATTAGGTTTTTGCATTCTTCTTGCCAGCATTAGCCTTGCTGCTTCCTCCTGAGCTTCAGTACCTGCTGAGGCACCAGCAGTGTACATACCTGTCCAGTTCATGCCTGTTGTAAGATCTGCTTGAATTCCACTTCTGTATTTAAACCAAATGTCATTTTTTTCAGTGTTGTTCTCTTTAGAATGAGATTTTGGAACTATTGCCTGAAACAATCCTTGCATCTCCTATTTACAAACCTCCCAGTTCATATATTTCCATTTATTGCAGAAAGAGGAGGTGGAGAGGAAGCAGAAAGAACACCATGCTGCTCAGTGTGGAATTTTTTATTTCTCTTTCAAGTCAGTTTGTGTATCTTTCTTTCCAACTCCTGCTCACTTCTCTCAAGATCTTTGAACTTGAAGGGCTACTTGAGTTTCTCTGCTTATTTTCATGCTGTCAAATAAAGGCTGGGCTGCCAAAAATATGCTCTCAGCTCTGGAGATTTCCTGCACATGGGACTTGTGCTGAAAGAGGGAATGAAGGTCCCACAGGGAATAACTTGCCTGTTTAAAGCTACTGGAAGCTGAAGCAGGTGTATGGGCTTTCCCCTGTAAGCTGTCCTTATCAGATGAGAGAATAATTAGTCATGCTCAGACAGGCAGGTGTATTGGCAGTCCACAGCTAATAGCCTAAGGATTTGTCATTCGATTCAAGGAAAACAATTCTGTTGGTTTCTCTTGTTTCTCCCCCTGATTTTTCTTTTGAACAAAATATCAGAGTGGGAGGAAAAACTCCAAACAGTAGAATGAAAAATAAAAGGCAACTGTTAAAGTAAATCCCAATTGCTAAATCTTATCTCTACAATGAACACACACATCTTGTTCCTCTGTCTGCTGTAACCACGTTAACTCCTCCCTAGCTGCATTTTTCAGTACCCTCTTCCTTTTCTTTTTTTCATTGCACAAATTACACCACATCTTGTCAAACTGAAACAACACAAATGCTACATGAAGTACATCTTCCCAGTAAGAGAGACATTATTTTCCGCAGACTGGAAAAAAACAGTGGTGACATTTTAATGCTGGAATCTGAAAAGTCTGTTGTTCTACCCATTCATTACATTGTCAGTCCAAGTAACATCAGCATGAATGTAGCAATTCTAACCATCCTAAAGAATGGCCATTCTGATACATGGCTTTATGGAAAAGCTAATAAAATGCAATTACTCTCCACCTTTGATTCAGAGTCATAAGAGTCCATTTCAGAATTCACATTTTTATTGCCTTGCACAATACTCAAATCTGGGGATTTGGTTTATTGTTTTAATTCCCTACAGCTGAATGTAACTACCTGTTATCTATGTTCACTAGAGCAGCACAGGTCAGTACATAAAAATAAAAGTTATAGTGCAGTACGTAAGGTGGATTACTCTTTTAAACAAGATGGTGAAATACTATCATCCCTTCCACTCCCTGTGGGTTTCTTGTAGGATTTAACTCTGTATGGAGCTTTTCAGTGGAAGTGTCCATTAAGCTGCCACGTGAGGGAGGTTTAAACAATATCTAAGCCTCGGGGAGGCCCACACGAGGTCAGATGCTGGGGGTCGATCCCGTGCCAAGGGTGAGTTTTGTGTTGACTACACAGGACGCAGCAAAGATGGGCTCCTGTGTTTGATTCACAGGTGGGCCACTCTGGAAGAGCAGTTGCAGCTGCTGATACAAATCTTGAGCTACTGGAGATCAAGCAAGAGTGCAGATCCATGGCCCACACAGCACACTGCTGTCTGGAAGTGTGGTGACAGATAGGGGCCAGGTGGGCACCAGTGCAGCATCCCTGGGACAGTGGAAATGGGCACCACCATCATCTTCCCAGTGCCTGAGTAGAAGCCATTATGATTGCCCATAATCATAAGGGAAAGGCTCCCTTTTGTTGCTAAATCTAATATATACATTAAAAAATTAACAGCAGTCTTCTTTGAGGGGAATAATTTAAGGAACAGAGCACAACATATGATAATATCTACAGTGGTTTTATTCTCTTTCAGAATGAGCTTGTACTCAGCTTCTTCCTGAATTGGTCCAAAAATACCTTGGCAGAAGATTCATCATCTGGGACGTTAGGTATGTGGATTACCAATCTTTTTTTTTTATTAAGAAGGACTTTTTAATAATATTGAATACAGCAATGCAAAGGTGAGTCTAAAGTGTTTAGGCACCTTTATTTAATTTTTTTTAGGACATAAAGATAACAACAAATAATTCCTGATTCCTCAAGATCTCAGAAAATGTGTTACTAATGTCACCTGTAGCTTTCTTTCTCTTTTACATATTCCCCTCAGCCTTGCTTCATTTCTTTTTGAATAAACATGCCTGTATGCAAAGCAAAAATTTATTTACACAAACTGTAGCAGGTTTTTTGTTCTACAAAACAAAATATTCATGGAAGAATTTGGAGGAAAGGATGTGAGTCATGACAAAGCACAATGTGTGCTTGCACAAGCGAAGAAAATCAGGGGTGACTTCTAAGGTAATTTTCACAATGAGTGGAGCAGGTAAATAACAGAACATTATGCTAATGCTTAGGCATACATTATTAATGACAGTAGTAATTCACTTCTTGCTAAATGAGATGCTGCACTGTTCCCTTAACCTATCTAAACACTTAACCCGTTTTCCTCTTCTGTCCAGCACCCAATTTAATCTAATTTCTGACATTACAGCATTAAGAGCCAAAGCATAAACTATAAAAAGTAAACTGCAAATGTTTGTTGTCTTCCATTACCTTAGTTCTGCACTGAAAAGAATCTTCTGTAGTCAGTTTTAGGCAAATAGAATCTCATAAAGAAGTCTGCAGCTGCACTCTGCACCACAACAATTCAGCTGGTTGTTATGTGCTCCAAGTGATAGGAAAGTTTCCAAGATCACCAGTTTTCCACATTTCAGAAAGGAGTGCGAGTATCTCTGCATATTTAGTTTGCATGTCCATTAAGTTAATTTAATCCCTCTGCAGGCCTAGGTTTCATTATCTCTTTTGCTGGGACCATTTTTTTTAATACATCAAAACAAAATAAATCCCATTTTGTCTTCTCAGCTTTTGGAAGATTCCCCATGTGTAAAGTTTATTTGATTAGGGCATGCCATTATCATATTAAACCCATTATGACTATTGAAAATTACTAATGGTTGCTCTAACTTTTACAAAGGATCAAGGAGATAATGCAAAGATGTCCTGGGTGTTAAGGACATAAAAGACTAAATCTTATCACATAAAATCCAAAACAGAGCTCAAATGGAACATGCAGTCTGGGTCCATGGTGGGCTACATCTCTCTGTAGACATCTTTACCAAAGACATACAGATGTGAGTGCAAGCTGAGGCACAAGGGAGTTAAAGTCCCTGGTCTTTGGAAGAACTGTGACATTTCACCAACATTTAGGTGCCTAGTTATTACAGCGAATCTGGGTGTAAAAGTCTTATGCAAAAGCATCAACTGAGTCTATAATAAAGCTGAGAAATAACTTGCAGCCTCATAATTCCTCCTGTGGTGTCCTGAGCTGATATAGTCTGAAGGATAAACCATTCATTTTTGTTGCCAGTGACAGCAAAATCAAGGAAAAGAATGGAGAAACAGGGGCAAAAATGTGTTTAGTGGTGTTTGATGGAAGCTATATGACAGGTAACCCAATCTGCTCGTGCACTATACAGTTGGTGGAGGTGAGGGTCACATCCTGGTCAAGGAAGATAAATGTATCTCTTGCCTCCAGCAGTGCGGTTACAGGGGGACTGGTTTTTTACTTTTGAAGATCTCTGCCTTTTAAAGTTTGGACACTTCAGTTCTAGACTCAGGGCAAAACCTTTGTTTAATATGGGAGAAAATAAAAAGCAAAACCCAAACCGCAAAAAAACCCAACTCCCTTTAGCCCAAAAAATTGATCACTATCGCTTATTAAAATAAATAAAATAAATAGAACGCCAGTAGCACACAAGGTCCAAATTAGGACCCAATGAGCTTAGACCTTGTGAAAACAGAGAACAAGAAGCATTGGCTGAGTTTCTCTGGATACTGCACCACTTGTGGTCAGCAAGGCAGGGTTGACAGTCAGTTGTGGTAAATTGTGGAAGAAGGTGAGCTAAGCTGTAAATGAGCTACCTCGGCTATCAGAGGAACACCTGCCATACTTGTGCTAATCACCCACTTGAAAAATTATTTTCATATGTGTTTGTCTATTCATCACCTGGTGGTTGGAGTTAGGCTGCTGCCATACCCTAGTGAGCTCACTAAAATCTTTGCTGCAGGGCATTTGCATGCAGTTATTGTCCAGAGAAGACACAAGTCCAGCTAAGGCAGGAGGTGGCTAATCATGCCAAGCTGCCAGGTAGCAAACAAGGAATTGCTGGGAAGAGCTCAGTGACCCTGGAGGCTCTTGCTTGCTCAGGGTGCCCAGAAAGTCTTGATTTAAAAGTAAACTCTGTAGTAATACCAGAGTCAGTCTGGGGAGGAATTAAGTTCACAGAGCCTGCCAGAGAGAGGTAATTACAATGAAAAAAAGTATGTTCTTTCCCCACAAATTTCATTGCTTTCTGAGGTCATAAGGGTCTTATTATTTGTCTGTTTTGAAAAATAACTCAGGTTTAATATGGGCTGTAGCTTTGCATGGATGTGGTGATTTCTCTCTTAGCCTTTATGCAAGTAAATAATCTGTCTTTTAGTTAGGATCAATATAAACTAAAATTAATGCCCAATAGGATCAGGTTATGAATTTTGATCAAACCAGCATCTTTCTCTTACACTGCTTTAATTTATGAATGTTGTAGGTAATTACACTTACTAAAGTAAAATAAAAATTAAAATTTATGAATTTGTACTGTGCTCCTAGTGATGAAGAGATTAGAAATCAGTGCTAAATTTATTTTGACATGAATACTGAATCAGTGCTCCCAGTGCAGTGAATTCTGAATTATACTGAATATTGTCAACACTTCATTATACCAAGCTCACTACAAGGCAGTGAGAGCAGATAGAGCAGATATCAGGAATGATTTCACAGACAGCCTTTTATAAAGGCCCTTTAAAAAAAAGGAGAAAGCAAATATATCAAAAACATTTTTATATCAATCTTGTTTATTTTTCTCTTGAGTTTATACCTCATGAAAATATTAATAATTCAGACTGTATTGGTTTTGCTGTGATTATAACATTATACAGCCCAGACTAATTTCTGACATGTGTAATTAGTGCTCCATGCATTTCTATGGCTCCTGTCCTTTTAGTGCAGAGGAGGGACTGGCTCCGTGTCCTTCTAAAGGAAGATCCAAGCTTTCCAAGAGGACTGTAACATGGTATTCCTCTCCATGCACAATCACAGTCCTCATGAGTAGGCCCTGAGGAGAAGAGGGGGTTTTGCTCACATTTCATAGTGCTTTGATCTTCTGAAGTTGCTCATTCTTGATGCAAAGCTTTTGCCACAAGTTGTGTTCCTGATTTAGTCGCATTTAGACTGTTTTGCTTGCCATAAGCACCTCTGGTTAGCTTGGAGAACAAAACCACTGAGATAGTCAATGTATTTACAGCTGGCTATGTGAAGTCAGATACATTGGAGGCTCACAAACCCAGCAAAAGCAGGCAGATGGTTGGCTTGGGGCGTTCAACTCTAGCCCTGGAAAACCAAACAGGTTCCAGTACTCTTTGATGCCAGATGTCAAAACAGGCTGTCAACAAGAAGAAAGGTCTAAGAAAAATCTGAGGGTGCAGAATACAGAATAATACTGAGCTCCCCAATGGCAGTGCATCGACACTTAATTAATTAGTTTTTCCGCATTGCTTTGCAGTTCACGTGTGAAATGCGATGTATTATTAAATTATAGTTTCGCTATTGATTTTGTCAGTAGCATCTTCCTCGCCATTTACATTCCTCATGCATTGTGCAAAATGTAATGCAGAGCTTATTTTAAAATGCTGCTAATGAAAACATTGCACAAATGATAGAATGTGGAGCTGGTAGTTCTCCAACATGCAGGAAAAGACCATCTAGATAAAGAAAACAACTGCATCTTTGACCACTGTGAAGATCATTTTACCTTCAGTAGAAATCTGAAAGCTGATTGCCTTCATTTTGTCATTTGAAAAGATGAAAGGACCCACGGTTTTCTCATGTTTATGTTCCTTGATAAGAGATTATAAATAGGCAGAGTGTTTGGGGTTTTTTGGGTTCTCATTTGGTATTTGACAACTTTTGCTTTGACACCAGTGAGTGAAGAATCAGTCCCTGGGAGGGAAATCTTGCTTCAGCTGTAGTCAGTGCAGCTTTGTCCTGTATCTACAGCAGACCAGCATTTGGTCCTTGCCTATAATGGAGTGCAAGAAGAGCATGACACTTCCTAAAAATGCAGGGCCTGAGTTCAAGTCCATCTGCCCAAACTGGAGAGATTGGAAGTAATTGTTGTATGTGTATTCTATTATCCTTTGAAGCTAAAATCACCTGGGCTGCAGAGGGGCTATGATTTAGCACTGACTGTGGGAAAACCTAAAATATACCAGCTGAGAGTAACTCGTTTTTATTATGAAATATAAGTGATAGATGTTTCTTCAATGTTTATCAGATTTCCCATGCTCTCTTTTTTTTCTTTTTCTTCTTTTTATTTTCTTTCACTAGTACTCTATTTATCACACAGTAAGATCAAATATTTTAGTAGTAGTCATCCCATAGAGTCTGTTTCAGACTTCATTTTAGATATTCAACTAGAAATGCATTTTTCCCTCCCATGTTTTTCATGAATTTCAGCTTGGTTAGAAATTTATTTACATTTGTTATAAAAAAAAAAAAAAAAAAAAAAAAAAAAAAAAAGGGAAAAAATGCCCAATTCCCACAGAGAAATCCTTTGACTGGATAAAAGCACCACAGTGTAAAACTTAAGTAATGTAAAAAAAGGCGCTGGTAATGCTGGGAGGAGGGGAAGGCACAGGGATCAGCTGGATTCTGATGATGTAATTTAGCCTCTGAAATGCTTAACTGCTCAGGGTGAGTCACTGCAATTCACAAATTAACAGAGCCCCACAAGTGTGCCCTTACGCTAAAACACAATCCCCCTGTGTTATGCTGTGTGTAATGGTCTAGGATTCTACATTTCCTGTTGCAACTTAAAGGCAAAAGGACTCATAGCTTAAAAAAAAAAAAAAAAACAAAAAATTGGTAAAGTGACTTTGCATGAAGAGGGGAGGAACTGATTTTTATGGGCTTCTTCTTACTGTGGAAAAAACTCAGCATCGTGTGGTTCATGGAGTTTTCATTCCCTACCCCTCCCTCTTCTTATTTGCATACCACAAGAAATGAAATAGGGTATGGTCTTGCCAAGTGATTCGTCAAGGTTCATAAGGGAGAATAACAAACGAAGAGCTGCAACTCACTGTTCTGAGTCCCAGCTTAGTGATTTCTTTGTAAGATTTCAATTCTTCAGGAGTGTTTCAGGCCCTTCTTTAATTAGGATGTGATTAAAAATGTATTTTTATAATCTCTAAAGGGAAGAAATTGGAGATGGATTCATATTCTCAAATTCCATTTCAAACATCAGAAACTCAGAAGTGTTGATATCCAGGCTGCCTGGAAAAATTATATTATGGCAGTTGCACATACATACTGTGTTATTTTTAATTCATTTTAATTCCTGTCCTTAAGATAAAAGGCAGTTGCACTGGTGCTCTGGCTGTCAGTAGTACATGACACCACTGTCATTCCATCTGCTTAGCAGTTATTTTAGCCTCTGTTCACTCCAGAGGTTACACATTTGGTTTCTTCAGAAGAATACAGCCAGTGTGGCTTATTCATTGTAAGTTCCCCTCTGAGAGAAGAGGCTGAGGAGAGGGATTTTGATTTCTTGCTCTCGCAATGCTGGCTGTGCGAGCTCTGGTGCACGTGTGGGAAAGAGAGAGCAAGAGTGCAACAGAGAGTGCACAGGTGTCTGCTGGGGCTGGAAGGGAGATGAGAGAATCCTGCCTGCTACTGAGGGTCAACAGTCCTGATGCTCTCTGAAAAGCCTCTTGCTGACAGTGCATAACCCTCGTGCGTGATGGTTCTTCTTTCATTTTCATCATCCTGTCTCACTCCTTCTGCTTCTCAGAACATACATTTCCATTTAAAGAATTAATTGCTACTATGTTGTCTTGTCTCGTGTCATTATCTCACCTTGTGGTGGGTTTAAGGGTGGGGTGTCAGTGACAGATGCCAAGGTGCTTGCAGGGAGCAGGACTTCTCTGACTGAGGTCTCAAGCTCAGCTACTTCTTTAATGGGGAGGCAGGAGAACAGAGACCAGCTCACGAGACATCACTGTTTGTCATTAGGTTAGCAGGACTGAGTTCTTACTTTTTCAAGTGCAGTAAATACACAATATTGGTTGTAATACAGCTTTGGTCTAATTAAGTGAAGCCCTGTTTGCATAAGTGAAAGCAGGCCACTTCACACAGGTAGTATCTGGACTGTCTTTGATTGTGACCACGTGGGGAGAACCCCAGGTCTCAGACCAGGTGGTGCAAAATGGCTCATGTCCACCCTGCTCACGTGAAACACTGCCAATAAGAAGGTCAGACAGATATTGAGGAGGAGTTGTGTTCACCACTGCGTGGTTTACTGTGGTTAAAGGCACCTGTATTTTCTTTCCTGTCTCTGCAGGGCAGGTAAACCACCTTACTTACCCAGCTTCAAGGACACACCTTTTTGGCAGTGAGGGCAGCTGGCTCAGTGCCTCCAGCAGAAAGGTGGAACAGGACATGCTTAGTCATTTCTTCTGCATTATGAGACTGATCCTTCTTGCCTGGAAAATGAAAAATGTTTTTTTCAGTGGGAGTGGAATCAAGCTCTTTAAGTGCATTTTAGTAGAAAAATCTGTGAAGGCAATGGGTTGCATGAAAAACAGCCTGGAACAGTAAAAGTACAGAATGAGAAAGGGAGAATTTATATATGATAGATGTAGATGTTGTTTCCCTAATTTGTTTTGGAACTGGTCTGGAAACTTGCTCTTTTTTCTTTCCTTTTTTTCTTTTTTTTTCTGTTCTGTTGGGAACTGAAAAAAAAAAAAAAAAAAAGAACAAAAAACAACGAAACAGTGGTTTTAACCAGACAAGAATTGCATCAATAGTGAATAGTGTCATCAATGACTGCCAAAAAAAACCACCTCAATTATTTGTCACTCAAGCATAAATTTCCCACTGAATTTCAGATTGATGGCAATTAGAAAACAAAAAATCTTACTGTCAGTTCATAAACAGGAAAGAAAATGAACCCTGCTTATCAGACCACTTTCTTCCATCACAGCCCTTATCCGTGTCCTAATTTCATCCCTGATTTAAAAATGCAAATGGTTCTTTTTATATATTAGTTCATGTGTACTTCAGTATTTTACAGATCTACTTCCTCTGAGCTGTTAACTAAAAAATCAAACTATCTGGCCTTTTTCAGGTCCTCGGTCAACTGGTCATAAGCCTGGAGTACAGTTAGTGATATCCTACGAGAACACACGCCTGACAATAATGTTGAAACACATGAGGAACATTGTGAGTACTTCTCTTGTGATGTATAATTCGTAAGTCCCTGCATTTGCAGAGTACTGTGAAAACATTAATCTTCTAACACCCTTTCTTGGATAACTAATTTTAGCTTAAATTAATGACAATGCTGTTCTATCATTATTTAATAATTGGTGAGGTTTTTTTCCTTTGAGCTCACTCAAAGGAAACCTGTAACCTGTGGTTACAGGTGTGGGACAGATACAGAAACTGGGTTTCCTTGGTGGCTGGTAATGGCCTTTTCCATGAAAACCAATTTTGATACTTTTCTGGCCTCTCACCTGACACATTTTGATTCCAGTCAGACATAAGACATCATCCTGCTGCATGACTTTTTGTAGCATGTCAGCCTGGCATTATGGGTTGATTATCCAGACATTTCCTTCTAGTCTGTCATGACTGTCTATGAAGAGGGCAGAGCTCATCAGAGGGAGCAGTGTTACGTTTTAAGCAACAATGCTGTTTGGTGGGGCCATGCTCAGCTTTGTAACACAGTCTCTGTCAGGAGGTAGGGAGGTAAAAGCTGTGCATTCCTGGAGCCAGGCTATGGGAGGGGGAAGCTGGTAGTGCTCCTGCAGCAGGAGGCAGGTGGAATTGGCTGATGAAGGTGAGAGATCCTCCTGGGCCGTGTGCGATCTCTCAGCTGAAGGAGCATGTCGGCTGTTCTGTAGTGAGTTCAGCGCCCAGATGTGCTCTTGAATTCCCAGTGATTTATGTCTCAAGTAATGGCTGTGGCAAGAGATCCTAGCTTTGTTTAGCTAGGGGACTAAAGCATTTATTAACTGTTGTGGGTTCTCATTGCATACGCTGATGCCATCTCCCCCAAACTGGATTGCAGTTGCTTTCCCTAAATGGGGCCAAACTGAGGAGTTTATGTGAGCACCAGCCAGTAATAAAATAAGGCCGAATGTTTAATTAGTTGTATGAGGCACATGAGGCTTATGTAGCTCTTACTATTCTCTGTTGGTTGCTCTGGCTTCTGATTTGCAATTCAAGCATGTTCATCTTGGTGTGTAACATTCAATACATCTCTGTCCTGAGACTTGATTTCTGTTTCCCGTGTGCCACCTTGACAGGTGAGATCAGCCTCTGCTGACAGGTCCAATTTAGACAAACTTCACCTTCAGGATGTATTATAAGATCCTCTTTATTTTTTTGGTTGTGCTTTTTAAATGCAAATGACTTTCATAAACTTCTGGTAAAGTTCTAGTGGGTGGGAGGGGCATATTTCAGTGTTTGCCATGCTGATGATGTCATTGGGAGTTCAAGGAGAGGATGTGGAGATGCACAGAGTTACAGGTGTAAGAATTAGTGTTTCTCTTTATTTCTTATCCAGGGTTCAGTTCTCTTCATTTTATGGAAAGGAACAGTACAACTTTACGTTATTATTGGCTTTTGTAAGTAGGCAACTTAAATCAAATCCACTTCAGTGAGTTTGCAGAGAAGTGGTAGGAGCCCCATTCAGTAAGACTGGCAATGATTCATGACTTGAAAATAAGGTCATTGTTTTGGCAGCCTAACTTAGGCAATCATGTTTTTAAATCCTGGCTTCCAGTTCCTTCCTTCCATCTGGCCATCCATCCTTCATCATCTGATGTGAAATATGAAATAGTAGTGCTTCAGAGTACAGTGCTACTGGACTGCCTTCAGACTAGCAACCTATAACAGAAAGGTTCTTAATCCTATTAGTAGTATTCTGTACTTTCCAGTCATATAGATCTATCTCTCTGACATGTTCTCTTTTCTTTTGCCTTGCCTTGCCTTGCCTTACCTTTTTGCCTTGGCTTTTTTTTGGTTGAGCTGAACAGGCATTTTAAAAGTATGCCAAGATCATATCTTATTCAAGACATGCTAAAGCTATTTCAGGTATATTCCATCTTTTGCAGAGTCTCACTAATTATATTTTAGTGGTTCGTCTGTGCAGAGATTACTTTGCTATCTTGTTTTATTTCATAATTTATAGTAAATAATTTTTGTGCTGCTCTTCCCTATTTAATTTATCTCTATAAAGAGATTTTATGATGTGTTCAGATGTGAAAATAATTGTAGTAGGCCAAATTAATCCCAAATGTGGCTTCATAGAACTGACAGAAATTGTGATAGAGATTTTTGATCCATGTAAATAAATTTTATTTAGCATTTATGTGGGTTTACTTCTAGGGGGTTTAATAGGACATCTAGATCTTGCCATGAAAATCCTGTATTGATATACAGTGCACAAGAGACTCTCTAAAGAGCTGGTGTTTTCAGCCATTGTCAAGTGTCACACAGGTTCTTTAAAGGAGGAAGCCAAAAGACTGCAATGCTATAGCTTTGCAGGAGTTTTTTCTGGAAGGAAATTTCCCTAATCATCTGGAATGTCATAGAGAAAATGCTATAGCAGTGGAGAGCACGTGCCAGATGTGCTGCAGATGTTACATGTCAGCCATCCCTAGATCAGCTTCAGAATGTCCTCTCCTTTACCACTGCAATATTTCAGTCACGTGCTAGGAAAGCCAGTTCTGCTTGAAGAAAACTCTATCAAAAAATTCTTCAAAGACAAATAATGAAGAAGAACAGCTTCATAGATTTTGTGACTGGAAAGGCCCATTAATCTAATTGAACCTTCTGTAAAGAAAAGGCTGTATTTTTTCACTGAGAAAATACTTACAGCCAAGACACTGTTTGAACACAGAGATGTTAAGACTGGTGGTTAATGTTTGCCTACAGCTGAAGACTGTGGGTGCACAATGAAGACAAGTTCTGTTAAACAGATATTTATAAGATCCTAAAAATGTTTCAGTCTCAAGATTTCCCTCAGCAATTCATGGTTTCTTTTGAATTCTGTGATTCTGTAAGTCAGGTGGCTTACTGCTTCTACTTATGATTTGAATGGCATGACCAAGACTGCTGAGGAAAAAAACTTTAAATTCAATTTTCAAACATACAAAAGCCATGGTGGTAATAGAATGAAATTTTCCAAACTTGTCTATCACATAGCTGTAAGTCAGTCTCTTGGGGCATTACTTGTTCAACTCAAAGGCAGACAGTGCAACACTGGGCTGTACTGCATAGGCAGTACAGGCAGTATTGCCTTAATAAAGTGAGTCTGGGATAAAAGGAAACATTTGTGTAGGGATGAAAACCATAGAGGCCTGGAGAGTTTGCCTCTGGAGTCATGGGGGATGTGGCAGCTCGAGGGGATGAGACAGGGCAGGCTTATTCTACACACACAGTAGCACCGTGCCTGGCAAAGCACACTGAGTGGTCTTAGGAGGAATATACAGGAACCCAGGGGAGGTTTGTTTTGGCATCTGAAAGGATCTGTTAGCTAAAAGCAGAAACAATCCAGTGGTGGCAGCACAATACCCAGGAAAACGGCAGTAGGCAGGAACAGGAGCACAGGGGGAGTGCTAGTCTGCCTTAAAAGCATAGGCTTGCAGATCAAGTGCAAAAGGTGTGGAGATGGATTTATGAAAATTGAAAGAGATGTAGGTTTTGAACTTGAAGTGTTCAAGTTCAGGTCTGTTCATCTGGATTAACCAACACAGAGATTGGGGGATACCAAGACCCTACCAGGTCTCACACAGGGCAGACTGTGGGCGAGCTTAGTTCCACACAGCCAGAAACAGCCAAACTACCTACTGGTGCTGCTGGGCCTGCTCACTACTTGAAAAGACAGCAGGGGCAACAGAAATGGCCATTTTGGAAGTTCAGAAAAGGTTGGCTAGCATATTTACTTTCCAGCTTCACAGAGAAGCAGAAGAGAACAGTGGTTCAGCGTTGGCTCAGGAGGAAGTGTGCTTTCTCTGCTGATTTCATTGCCATGACTTCAGGCATGTCCTGTTTTCCTAGATAAGCAGCTAAACATTTTTGCCCATTACTTCTTGTGGACAAAATAACTCCTCAAGGGTAGAGGGGAGGAGAAACAAAGCCAACTTATCCTCAACCTGATGCCAATAAATGTAAAATGTTACTAGAATTCAGGAAAGCGCGCGTGGGTGATGAATTCGGAACCAATTTTACAGGGGGGAAATTTGCTGGAAGAAAAATAAACTCCTACAGTTCTCTGTAAAACTACTTCCAGCTTTCCTTTTCTAAAAGCTCTGAAGCTGTCATGTACTGCTCTTGGTGATTAATGATTCTGGGATAGCTGATATGTGGGTGACGAATTAGTAATCAGCTTTACGATTACACAGACATCCAGCCTCTTTCCATTTCATGTCCTACGCCATCCGAGTACAAATCGCTTCCAAAAATGTTTGTGAGATGTGATGCCTTAAGTGTGTTGTGAAGAAAGGTGAGAGCCAAGCTTTCCCGAAGCCAAAGGGATGAAATCTAAACCTTCAGGTGCAGAGTTGTAGGGAAGATCCCACATACAGTACAGGTAGATGCTCCGCTGCCTTTACTGGGTTTTGTCTCAAGCTTGATTGGGTGAGGGTTGGGATTTTTGTTTCAGTCTTAGTTGATTCCCATGGTTCCTCTCATGTGCTCACTAACTTTTGCCCTTTATGACTATCATTATATAGATTTAAATGGAAAATATATACTACTTGCCAACAATGCAGTGCCTACCAGCTAAATAAAAAGCCACATTATCCTTTCAGAATATTATGAATGTATTCTGCTTTCCTTGCTGCAGCCCATGCATCAGTCAACAGGGATTGGAATGAAGTTGCATAGGGAGGCAAGCCTGGTCATCCAGGGATAGAAAAGAAGAGGAAAAAAGATCCCTTTGAGCTGAACAAAAGTTACCCAAAGAGTATCAGTGACAGAATGAAACCAGCAGCCTGGCTGATGGATGGAGGTAACACATTCAGATGAAGTTCTCCCTAGACTGGCACAGGAGAACAAAATAAAAAGCCATGGGAAGAAAGCTGTTGTACTTACTCTAGCTGGTCAAGAATTTGAATTTAATTTTATATTCATAGAAAATGCTTTTACTTTTAAAATGAAAGGAAATTATCTTAGATAGACTGTGTTCTCTTTTGGACTGAAAATTAGCTGAA